GATAGATAGATAGATAGATAGATAGATAGATAGATAGATAGATAGATTGATTTGTCTGTTTTAAATGTTTGTCAAATAAATGTTTTTTCTAGAATAAATGTTTTTTTAAAAAAATCATGATTTAAATCAATTCCACTCTGATACAGATTAATTCATGTCCCACCTAAAGATCAGTCAAATGGCATCAGTTCCTTTCAGGAACAAAACCTCAACGTGAACTTAGTTATATGGATGTAAACTTTTTTTTTAATATGTAATATTCAATGATATGCGTAGGTAATCCTCAACTTGCAACTGATTGCTTACTGACCATTCAAAGTTACAACAGAAGTCCCTCAAAAGCTACTTAAATACTGATTTCAAAATTACAATGACAGTATACACCCTCACAATCATTTGGTTGCATTTTGGTAGCTGTTCACCTTTATGGCTATTTAGAGTATCCTGCAGTCATATGACCATAATTTTTGATATTTTTTGCTTGTTTCCAGTGTTTACTTCCAATTGCAGGCAAAAAATGCCCATTGGATAAATGGATTTGGAAATTGTGAAAAATTGGGCCTAGTGATGCAATGTCTTAATTAATGATTGCAACAACTTACAATTATAATTCTGGGCTCAATTATTCTTGTGATTTGAGAACTACCTGTAGACATTAATTTTTGTGACATACTATAGCTTTCTATGCTGTGACATTAGCATTTCATGTTATGTGTACTTTGTTAAAAATATTTGTGCAATTGGATTATGTAGTGAATGGCGAATCATAACGTTTGAGAAAATATACACTTATATTTTTACTGTGAAGGACAGAATAAAAATCTATGTTTCCATTTGAAGCATTCCTCTGTATAAAGGTATAAAAGTCCTATTAATTTAGATACTAATTATGATATGAGATTATTCCAAAATTTGGATTAGGAAATAAATCATAACCAACCAAAACTGTAGTAATTCAATACTTTTGTTTATTGTTTCTATGGTACTGTTACAAACTAAATTAATGAAAGTTTCAATAGTTTGAATGGAAATGGCTACTTTTCAATAAATAAATACAATTAAAAATGCCCACCTTTGGCCAGAAAGAAATGTGATTTTACGTTTACAAATATATACATGAGTAAACATTCACACTACCCCTCCCCAATCTTCCAAATTTCTAAGATCATCTTAATAGTATAGCCACATCCTTCTCTAATTAAAAATAAATCCTATTAATGGAAGTTCTATCAGGATAGAATTACAGCTTTAATGTGTTTTTTTGACCATCTAAACCAGGGGTAGTCAACCTTTTTATACCTACCGCCCACTTTTGTATCTCTGTTAGTAGTAAAGTTTTCTCTAACCGCCCACCAGTTCCACAGTAATGGTGATTTATAAAATAGGGGACATAACCCCTACCATGAAAGCTGGAACGCCCACTAGTGGGCGGTAGCGACCAGGTTGACTACCACTGATCTAAACAAAAATAATTATTCATTCTTTATTTTAGTTAAGGGAAATAATAAGTGCACCAAAGGCTCAAAGCAGATCAGAGTTGGCCTCCAAGTATTAGCTAAATAATGAAAAGGCCTTAAGTCCCTCAAATTGTCATGCCTTACAATGTTGGGTAGTCAAAAAAGAAAGCAACATAACTATTTCAGGTGTTCATGATTTAATAATCCAAGAGCTGTAAATTACATTTGTTCCAAATCTGAAGCAGCAATTCTTTCCCCAATGGCAGAAGACCCAAGTTTATTCATACTCATAATATTCATACTCATAAAAGAAACCACCAAATAATCCTTGGGTCTTCTGCCAAAGTGAATATATTGTATTTTGCTATTGATAAGGTTCAGCTTCATCACTTGTATTATTTTAAAGAAATATGCTTAAGCCATTACTTACAGCAATTTAAATAAAGTTAATATTTATGCCTTTGGTCTGGAGGTTGATACATTTTTAAAGTCACAATGCCTGGCAACACAACTTTCTCTGATAAAAATAAAATTGAACAAGTTGCTAGTTGTGTGGTCTTCCTAGAATTCTAAATCAACTGTTATCTGTCCTTTTCCAAAAAGAAACATGTGCCAACATGATTCTGAAGTCTGTTTTTTAGAAAACCATACATATAGTGTGTTGGAAAAAGGAATCTAATAACTATATGAAAACTAAAATAATTACTAATAAAAATATTCAAATACTTGGATTTCATTTATTCCAAAACTAAGTCATGTTAAAATTACATCATCACTGAAGAATTATTTTAGATAAAATGCTCCAAATTTGCTCAAAGTATATGAAGGTAAAGAAGCATTATTTATATTTTATACAATTTATATTTATTATTGATTTGGAAAAAAGTCAGCATTATATTATTAGACACCATAGCTCATTCTTCAGAATTGATTAGTACCTATATTTTAGTACCAATATTTAAAGTATTGGACCAGAGGACAGCTTATTTGTAAAGCTACTGTATTTGTTCATATATAATATACAATTTTACCTCTGAAAAGCTTAGAAAAAACATATCTTCTTTCTACCATCTCAATCACAAATCCCTAAATGGGATAATGATGAAATTTTTGTGATAACCTAGTTTTGTCCACCATGAATTTTGGATGATAATATATAACCACACAAAATTGGTATGTATTTCTATATCACAATTATAGTTATAATGCATTGAAGTTTTATTACTTCTAGCAACACAAACACTGAATATATAACAAAACAATGGTGCCTATGAAAAATAAAATGCAAATGATAGATATGGCATTTTTAGAAAACAATGATAACCATAATGATAATACCCACCCACCCCCCACCCTCTACCCCCCAAAAGCCATCCATTTATGCTGAGGTGGACTAGCCCAATACTTGTGTTGGAAATGCAGAAAGAAGCTTCCATTGTTTTAATATATAGATGTAACCCTGGATTTTTAACAGCAATTGGGACTGGAATTTCTATCACTAAGCAATGTGGTCATTAAACTAATCCCATGGTTGTCAGATAAGGCAACTTTCTATGAACTTCCCACAACGAAGTTGTGAGCAAGAAGGCTTGCATCAAGGCCGGTAAGCAGAATCTAATACTGTACACATTGGCCAGAAAAACAGACTCTATACTCCAAACCCAAGTAAGTTTTCTCACTTCAAGAAATTTGGATCTGATGTAGAACTCCAACCCTTACAGTTTGTATGTTCCAAATGTCTACACTGGGTTAACTTAGTATCTTAGCCCAATACAACAGATGGAAGAGGAACTCTTTCAAAAAAATGAACAGACTGTATGCTATTTTTTTAATTTTTATTTCTCTATCTTTGCATCTGTTTCACTTTGTGTTATGAAGTACAACCTTAAAGAATGTAGATTTTTATTTTTAAGAGTGGAGAATATCACAAACCACAGGGAATTGCAAGAGAAGGTGATAAATGGCCTTTCTAGCTTCACCAAATGAGTGAAAAAGTGTTATTATGGAATGCATAGCATAATATAATTTGAAACTATTTAAAAATATAATAGCTGACCATGTGTTAAAGTAAAAATGAAGTGAACAGTTTGTCCCTGGCAAAACATAATAGCACATATACAAGAAATGCTTCTTATATTCAATGCCACAAACATACTGTATACTGGCACTTTTTCTGTCTAGAAAAATATATCCGTTCACATTGATATGCTTCCTAAATTAAAAATATGTTTGGATTAGGGAGCAAATATATTCATTATATAATAAACATTTACCAAAAAACTCTTAAGACTATTACAATCAGACTACATGTTTGGATTGCAGTCCTATCTATTTGATATGTAAATCTTATTTAAATGAATCTACCTACTTCTACCTGCCTACTTCTGACTAATTTAGAATTATCAGAAGGCTGTGCCTTTCTTTGCTAATACCAAAGAAAAGCAACATGTGCAAAGAGTAAACTAGGCATAAAATCATTCATATGCTATATTTAACTCTTCTGAATTATTTCAAACTACATAAATATTGCACATTCCAATGCTAGTAGATTTATGGAGGAAAACACAACTGAACCATTAGGTTTGTTATCTTGAGTGAACATGCTAAATAGATTCTGTCTGTTAATGATGTTCTGTGTATCTGCCACTACAATTCAACTATGACACATGGCACAGTCAGACCGAAGATCAGATATAAAAATGTTATAAACTTGACATAAATGTTGTGCAAAAAAAACAACTGTTCAATTAGGCCACAGTCTCTACTTAAAAGATATGAACACATTGCAGAAAAAAATAAATGTACAAACAATGTACATAATTGGTATATCATATCATTAGAATTGATTGACCAAATAATATCACTATTCCTCCTGAATATTAAGGTGAAATATAATACCTCTTTTAAAGACATAATTCTATTTAAATGCATCTATGTAAGGACTGAAGTGAGTATATTAATTCCAAAATTCGGGTATACAAATATTGTGCAGTTTATCATTTAATATTCTAATATCAATTTTACGTTAATCCTGACTTCCAAATGGTGGGGAATAAAGGAGACAATGCAATACAATAAGGCTGGCCAAAAATGTTTTAATTGTCAAATGAAGATATTTAAGAAATATTTGTAAAATATTCTATCCTCCCTGAATGTGTAAATAGATTCTTCCTAGATAACAATCTTAAAATCTCTTTATAACAAAACTCAAAAATTAACTACAGTATGATATATTTGAGATAATTAGGCAATAGGATAGAAACTGGGAGGCTATGCGTTTTAGTTGCACCTTAGGCACAAAACCAGCTAGGGAACCTTGGCCAGCCTCTTTCTCTTTGGTCCAGAAAGGAGGCAATGGCAAACCACTAAACCTTGTCAAGAAAAACTGCAGGGATTTTTCCAGGCAGTCTCAAAGAACTGTACAAAAGTGAATGGAAGGGGGAAAAACTCCTTTGTTTCAGAATTTAAATGTTTACTATTATACACTAAAAATAAATAAAAATGGTTTGTGATAAAATCTGTGAAACTTCATTCCCAAGGTTTTTTTTCCAGTATACAATACTCTACTTCAATACTGCACCTGAAAACATAGACACTGCTTTCCAACTAAGTGGCCATTTAGGAGGATAATTGATACTTGGGACAAACATCTAATAAGAAAATGTAAACATTTCAAAAGGAATGCTTCCAAGTGTTGTTTTCCATATTCTGAAAAATTAGAAAATTAAATATATCTCAATTCAATAAAATAAAAGCTGTATGGATGGATCCATTATCACATCCATGTACTAAACATAATAATGTTTATTAATACGAGTTGAAATGGTAGTTTTATTCTGTGAGATTTCCATTCAACCAAAGAGCTCATTGTTACTCTAAACCAATCTCTCACATAGGTTTTTTCTTATAGGCATAAAACTGTCTTGCACTATTAGAAAAAATGTGGAAATATAAAGTAAAGATATAAATATAATGAAATCAATATCACATCCAAGAATACCGTACCTGTATTTCCCAAAATATCACATCCAAGAACATTTTTGTACACATACCCACACATACACACATTGTACTGTGTATGGAATAACAGGACATCATGTAACATGAGTAGAAAAAAAAAGAAGCAACATATCTCCAAAGATACAGCATATTCTCAGAATCAGGAATGTTACACTGTGGAGAAGTTCATAGGCTCTGATTTCAAGCCATACATCTTCCAATCAATAAATCAGATAAGAAAGTACCACATCTCTCAAATCATCAATCCAAAAATCAAAGTTCTTGTTCCCAGACTACTCCACCATTGCTTGTATATATTCAACATAGATCAAGTTACAGTATAAGCCATAATTTACAAGGCATATTTTCAAAATAAAATAATCCAAAAAATCCATATTGATTTCACTCTGTTTTGGTTACTAGTGCATAATCCACAATTCATGGTTGATCCCATCAAATTGGGGGGAAAACGTTTTCAACTACATATGAGCAATGAACTATGGCTCTTATTTTCATTGACTTTAACTTCATACTAATTGTACTTATGAGGTAGTTATGTGAACAATTTGTGGAGATTTTAAGGTAACCGTTTAAAAAAGGATTGGAGAACATGTGACCTCTAAAGTTAATACCCATTAGCCCTAGTCAACAAGAGTACTGGAAGATTATGGAAGCCAGGGTTTGGCTCTATCTCCTAAAACCAGAGATTTGCAACACCTGCAAAGATTACATTTCCAACACAAGACATATAAAAATAACACTTACTCTGTTTTCCTTCTCAGTTTGTCTTCAAAGATATCATTTAGATTAATTGCCACTTGTCCCAGAAACTTATCAAGGCCAACAAGAGACCTGTGCATGACTATCAGGTAGAGAACGTATTTTTCAGAGTTCCCTTCCATCAGCAATCCAGGCAGCTCAAACGAAGCTTCTTCTTTCCATATTGGATCAAGGGTCTTCTCTGCCACCGAAGTGGAGTATTTCTCTTTCCCCAATTGTATGATAGTGTATGTATCATTAGTGCCACTTTTGCCCTTTGGCTTGAGACCTTTGGCCTGAAGGACTGTGACCTGCACATGAGTTGGGAACCACTTTTGAGCTTGCTCTGACAACATAGTAACAAAGGGGTGGGGGAGAAATTTTGGGTAACAATAGCCACAGAAATAAAATACTGGGTCAGAAGGTATTTTTCACAACGGGGAAGCCTGACAGAGCCTTTCAGAGAACTAAGCAACTCTCATTTTTGAGATTCTTATTCATTCAGCAGCATTAAACAAAAAGGGCCAGGTTCCCTAACCTAGCTGACCGTCCCTTCAGATTCTTTTCTCCAAATGTTAATTTCCAGCATACCTCTGTAATCCTAGAGATAGTTCTGCTCTTCCATACTTCCAGACAATATATATTTGATTTTATCCTCTACCCACCGGATTTTCACTCCCACCCAAGGCCGACCGGAGACTAACGGGCTTTAAATAAAAACAAAAAAACCTCTCCCCACCCACACCCGTACAATTTGGCACTTGCCCTGCCTAACACCCGTTGAGATTCCTCTGCATCCTCTCCGGCAAATCCTGCTGGCAAAGCAACCTACACCTCTTAACAACGCGAGCGGGGTGGTGGGGACGGGGAAGTGGGTGTCGGGCAAGAGTTTGATTCTGCCGAAGACACGGAATCAGCTCCTGCCGAGGTAAACCGGACCCGTTCCGCTGGGGGCTCTGCCAGGCCGCCCTTCCCCGATAACGGCTTTTCTGGAGGTGGGGGGGTGGGAGTGTCCTTCGGTATGCCCGGGGTTGGGAAAGAAAAGGGGGGGGCGGCGTGACAATGAACGCCTCGGAAAAAGGGCATGTCATGCGGAGGCTCAGCAGCGCGGTCGCCCAGCCGCCTCCCTTCCTTCGGCCGAAACGCTCCAGCCGCCGAGCCAAGGCCCCACTTCCGCCTTCCCCATGTTGCCTAAACGGGAGCCGCTGAGTGGGAGCGAGTGAGCGGCGCCGCCTCTTTCCTCGGGCGGTCAGAGGGCGAAGGGTATGGTTCAGGAAGGCCAACCGCTTCCCCTGCCCTGCCTCGCCGGCTTCCAGCGGGCCCCATAGGGACGGGCGAGTGGGGTGAGGGGACGACGGCCGGGGAGAAATCCCGAAGGATGCGCGTGGTCCCTCACGGCTCGAGCGGCCGCCGGGGGAGGGTCGCGGTTGGACTGAGCTCCTATGCGGAAGGCTGGACCCTCCGCATAAGGACCGCTTCCAAGCTGGACTGGTATTTAGTGGGGCTTTCACTTCTGTCTGGCGTCTTCTTTTCGCCCTGCCTTGGTGGGGTTGCAATGCAGTAAACGTTCAAGGGCTTGCGATGGACTCGGTTTTAAAGATATTCCTGATTGGTTCGTAAAAACTTTTTATTTATTTATTTTTTGGAAAAAAAAAATTCTTGGAGACGTGGTCATGCTGAAGTATCAAAGACACTACACAACATGGGGGAAGTTGTGAATTGCACAAGAAGGGCAGGTGAATTACAGTAAGAAGGGAAAATAAACTGATCAGGAATAGCGCAATAAATTAAAGAAGAAAAAAACGACTTAATGATATATGCACCATTCCAGCAATGGAATGGTGGACATAATAATGAAACTCGGAAATGCCTTCAAAATGATGAATTTTGTTGAGCTGGTGTAGTTTAATAGTTAAGGTATTCAGTGAGAACCAGATTCAGGTTGCTGTCTCCTTAAAAATCACTAGGTGACTTGGGGGCCAGTTTTAGCCCAATCTATCCAACAGAATGGCTATCAAAATTAAATGGAGAGAGATCCAAATATGTCAATTTCCAGAGGAAATGTAGGATGATGATGAAGATGACAACTCAAAAAAGTTTAAAAAAATTAAAAAGGCATGACTGACATAACAATAGGTTGGGATTCACACTTGAATATACGGACCATGATAAAGGCCTTCCAAGAAAACCTCAAATTTAAAAATAAAGGCACGTTCATTTAACTACTCTAGGAAAATGTATTTAAAAACATGAAACCAATAACAGTATATGCATTCTGCAAATAACTTCTAGATGATGGAACATAAGCAACAATATGTTGGCCTGCAAGGTAATCCGTAGATTAGAATTCTGGTTTCAGTAGAATACTGTGGTGTGACTATGGTTGAGGTAAAATCGGACTTCTATTTTGCTTGTATATTTGCTGTCAGGATTGACTGGTACTGTTACCGTTACCTGGGAATACCCTATGCGACATGAGTGTAATTAAGGGTAGTAGTCTAGTCTACATCTTTTATTGAATCTGTTATGTGATAGGCAGCAGTGGCCCTATCGTTGTGCTGGTATGCTATTAAATATTTCCAGAATCTCAGCAGTTTATTTCAATTAAAGGATAATTCAGTAGAAATTAAAATGTCCACTATAGAAAATAATAGTGTGTCCTGCATCAAAATACATAACACTGATCAATGTCTGAAACAACAGATGAACGCCTCTTTGACCAAATTTCAGAAGACTATCAATGGGGAGGCTGTTCTTAAGTGTGGGTGATATGTCTGAGATACTATTTATACTGTCCTTGGGTCCTCTTCTAAATAATGGGTACTACCAGTTGTTGCTTCTGGGAGAATGGCATTGAAAAGTTGATTTGTATTGATCTTGGACACCATTCATATATGTTTTGTAAGTTAAAGCCATCTCCTTGAATTTCCTATGAAAACAATTGACAACCATTATAGGGACTGCTGTGTAAGTGCAATATGTTTATGACAATGAATTTTAAAAAACATTAATTTTTGAACCAACTGTAACTGAGTGATCTTCAAGACACCCTCATGTAGAGAGTACAGCAAATTGGTGATAATACCAAGAATTACCCAGGTCCTCTTTTCCAAGTAGGGATGTATCCTTCCTAGTCACAACTTCCATCTGTGTATTCCAACAGCAGCTCTGTCTTGGCTTGGGCTTAATTGTATTCTATTCATCCCATTAAGATCCCTGTTGTCTCAAGACACTAAGTTGAGATTGAACACCAGCTGGGCCCAGAGTAGCAATAAATACATATATTACACACAATACATTGCATACAATACATACATACAGCCCTATGAATCAATGAATCAATGAATAACATCTCTTAGCATCCAGCTTGAACACAGACTGAAAAAAGTGTAGCTAATCTACTTATTCTAAGGCAATTCTAGATGAATTCCCGCTATATATTCAACGACCTACCCCTTCAAAAGTTGGAGGTTGGGTGAACACTATCAATAAGGCAATGAGTAGCCCTTGTAGGTCTTTGGCATTGTTCCCAAATGCCTTCCAAAAACACTCCTGAGAAGACCCTCCTGATGCCCCCCCAACTCTGCAGGTGGCAGTCTTAATTGGCAAATGATACATATAATGCCATCCATATCCAAATCACAGTATAATTTCTCTCACATGAAAATGAGATCAGCATGTATTTCCTGGCATGTATCAATCTATGACAATTGTATGATTACTTTGGAGACCATGAACTCTGACATTTCCTGAACAATAGGACATAGACATTGAAGTCACTGAACACCAAAAAGTAAGGAGACAAACTTCAATCTAGAAGTTTATCTAGAAAAGATAAAGAGAGCAGGCAACAAAATACCTGGTGTACCAGTAAGGTCACAGTTTGTCTTTATGGCCCAACATAGACATTCATGTAGGTTATCATGAATAAGATCATGGAATATAAATGCGTCATATAGGGTCAATATAATTACCGATACAGCCTTGAGCTCAAGATTGCTGCAGGACCAAAAGTCCAGAAATGAGAAAAAAACATTGTGCATAAAACCAGGAGAAAGTGAAAGATTTAATGGGTCTGGATGAAAGTGCTCTGATCTTGTGGATTCAGTGAATGAAATAAAAAGGATCTGAGCTGTGTGGAGACTCATCTATGAATGAATGAATTATAATGGCTTGATGAAGACTTGCTTCAAGAAATATGTTTTAAACAAATTAATTCACTTGGGAGATGAAAAAAGAATGAATCAAAAAGTTTGACTAATTTTAATTTTTATGATGCAAGACTGAAATCATTAGTGAACAATGAGAAGTTCTGAATATGGGACATTTCTGATAATATCTAGAGTAGATCTTTTTTTAAAAAAATTAAAAAAACACTAATGAAAGAAAGTAGAATAAAATTACAACAAATACAGGAACATAAAGTATAGTAGTGGAAGCTAAATTAGTTTCCTAACAGAATGGATGGAAATTAAAACAACAACAACAACAACAATAAAAATAATAATTGGAGCCCTTGGAGCAATACCTAAAGGGCTGCCTCGCTAACTGGAAATTCTGAATTTATCAGACTTGAATACCATGATTCTACAAAAAACCACCCTACTTGGAACAGCCTCCGACGCTACCTTAACAGTTCCTAGGTCTTTGGTTAGGACTTGAGCTGTTGAGCTACCAACCAGCCCAAAGGCTGTGAATCTCACTAAAGGTTAACTAACAACAACAACAACAACAACAACAATACTTTATTGTCATTGTATGTATATACACAGTATACACATACAACAAAATTGCACTTAACAATGAACTTAAGGACCACCATCAGTGATGGTGTTGGACAGTATTACTTGGTTTGTAGTGTGGATGCTTGTGTATTTTAGGAGGTGGGGAATTTTGGTGGGTGGGGGGGTGTTTGGGGATTGTCATGTGTATGCATGTTGGTTCTGGTGTCTGGATGTTATGTAAAAAATTTTTTTTTAAAAAAAACAAATTTTATTAATTTTCAAAGACAATACACAGACAAACAAAACAAAACATAAGAACATAGAACATCTTTTCTAAGAACTACTTAACAAAACAAATAAAACATCTTATTTAAGTACAACATAATTCTAAATTATCACATTTCCACACAAACACAATTTAATATGCATCTTATTTATTCAACTTCATATCTTATTACTCTTTTTCCAACTTCTCACTGTTTCTTCCTTTACTTCTGTTCAATTTTATTCATTAAACTTATACTTTCATCTATTTCATATTACTATATTTCATATTATTACTGTTTCATATGCTCTTATCCAACATTATTAATTCTCAATAAACAAACATAAACAAACAAAATACATAACATAAAGACATAAAACTTCTTTTTAGAAAGCGGCTTAACCCCGGGTTACAACTTTTTGTACAGACATAAATCAAATTCATGCTCACCTTATATACTATTTCATATCTTATTTAACATTCTATATTTTCCATATGTCTTCTCCCTTCTTTTCACTCTCTTAATTCTATTTTATTTATTTAATCTCAATTTAAATCATTATACTTGTATCTTTTGTCTGTTCTTTTTCAATTATCTATTTATCTTTTCTCTTTAATACAAACTTTTTCCTGTAATCACTGGTTGAAGTATGACACCTTTCTATCTTTCCCCCAAATTTAACACTTAAAATAATACATAATTTCCATTCTGATTCTGCTTAGTACATTCTACATAACATTTTAAAATAAAAAACATAATGAGCTTATAGTTTGGTAAAAACAATGTTCCATAACAAATTAATTAATTAAACTCTATTAGTTAATTTTTAGACATTTTACACATTCCCTACAATGTTCTATTAACACATATGTTATTCCAATTTTCTAACTCTATTTCAAATACAAATACTACAATACAATCTTATGTACTTTTGCAGAATCTCTTTTTAGATTATATTTTACCCTTTGTCTCTGAAAACCTGTTTTTTAACATCTTGTTTTAAGCCTTTATAACTTCTCTTCACTTTTTCCCTTCCTTCCTTGTCAAGTCTAGCCTTTTTACAACCCCCCCCAATCTCCAGCCTCTTAGCCTCCCCTCTCTGTTGTATTCCTCTTTTCTGTTGCTTTCTGACAGTATATCGATTTTTCACCTTATTTTTCCCTTTCTTGGTTGTTTTTTTAGAACTTAAATTCTCCATTTTC